GCTTTCCCCATAGCCAACTATACCACCAGAACTTGACCTCTCTCCTTTCAACCTGGCACTTCTTAATAGGGTGAGAAATGGAAACACCCAAAGACGTGAAGAGGACATTCAGGAGAGAGAAGAGGCCCCTTGGTCATTGAAAGGTGGCCATAGCCAAAGTTGATCAGGATCCTGGGATTACTGAATGGGATGGGAGGCAGGGAAGGTTCTTTGGTTTTAGAGCATTCTAGGGTACAAACCAGCATGCCGCCATCAGCCATCAGGGCACTAGAGTTTATCTTTCAAGTAATCCTAACTTGACCTTAATGGTCAAGAAATCCTAGCTCCTGAGACTCAGAGACCACCCTATTCCCTTACTCTTACCTTATTGGAGGAGCTTCCATATAGGAGCTAAAAGCCAGCTCTAGCTGCCTGTCCCTGGGCTGGTTTGAGGAGTCATGAAACTAATGATCATATGGGATATTAAATTAAATGTTCCATAAATGTAGGAAGCATTTTTCTTCCTTCTTTCTTTTCTTTTATTTTGTGTTGTTTTTGTTTAGATTTATAGCATATCTAAGAAAGGAAAAGGAGTCCTCCTCTGGGATAAATAATCTAAAACCAGGCCAGTTCCACAAACATAATTGTGCAATTAACATGGAAAGGACCAAATACAGTAATCACAGCCTTGAGGACCCTTGTGCTTTCTTTTCAACCTAAACCTCTGTTCCCTCTCCTTCTTCCTCCCCTCCCAGCACAGGCCTCCTCATGTGGGTGGGTGTACTGTGTGTGCAGTGTTCTCAGTTTGCTTGATGAGTAATTCCGGTCAGAAGGTCCTTAAGCTTAGGTCAGAGAGAGAAATCCCAATTTGGTGTGGCCATCACTGTCAGCCAGAGTCATAGACTTACGATGTTCAACAGAACCTTCTTACCACATGGAAAGAGAGGCCCTTGTGAGATCTCTGGCCTTTTGACCTCATGGCCTCTAATCTGCCTCTCTGCACTGGGCCACCCCTCAGAAAACAATCGCCCTGGGAAGTACGCCTGCGAGGAGCTTACTCCTCAGTGCCAGCTTCCTTCCCTCTTCTAGCCCGGCTCTGTGCAACCCAGGGAGCCACGAGGTCAGAGAGATGGCTCAGCTACTGGCAGATGATGGTGAAAACCAGCCTACACCTACCCCAAGGAGAAATTGGTCTGGGCAGTGTTCTCAGTTCTCTAACACAAGAACCAGCTGTGGGCTAGCGGTGTGGTGTGCAGAGGCTGGGGCCAGAGTTAACAGTTACCAACAGATGTCAGGGGTCATGGGCCCTCTGTGGGGAATAGCACATTCCTGGATTCTGTCACAGCGGCCTGGTCAGACTTGGGGGTTTCCGTGACAGCCGCAGCCTGGCCTTGATTTTCTTTATCCCGTGTCTCTGTATCTGCCAGGACCACTGGCTAGAACTGCCCAGAGTTTGTGCTCTAGGAATATGCCATCTCTGGGGCTACAGCATGACCTAGTAATAGAAAGTTCTCCAAAGGTCAAAGGTCTGAGGATAGAGACAGCCACTGAGAACTCAGAGGCTTCTCTTGCCAAAAACCCTGATTTATCAAGTGAGAGGATGGCCCAACCTTTTGTCATCTGTTTTCCTCAGCACCGTGCCCTCTTTGCCACCTCACCGCCTCTGAGTCCCTACTCTGAGACAAAAGAAAAGAGATCAGTCAAGCCCTTAGTTCCGTTAGGGATGGGGTAAAGTAACCAGCTGTAGAGAGGTTTAGAATTACACAGTGGCTTTGTCATTCATGTCCTTATGGAATTTCTAGTGAAGAACATCTTTCTGCTTTACCTTCCAAACACCAGCTCTGAAGTCTTAGCAGGATTTAGTAGGCTTATGAAGTGATAAGTAGATCCTAGACATTCCGTAAGAGCCTGTTGACCATCATTGCTGTAGCGTGTTCCAGATACCTGTAACAGGTGATAGACACAAGAACACCGCACATGTACCTGGAGGTAAGGGAATGAAGTAGGTAGGGCGGGTATGGATGATAAGGGGATTGGCCCCTCCAAAGCTGGCTCTTGACTGTTTTCCAAAGGTGACTGAATTTGAGAGGGCTGTGGGTACCAGCAAGACCCTAGCTTCCTGAATAATAGATCAATATAAGCTTGACAGTGGGGATATTCTGGACTCCCAACTCTGGGTGGCAGTTAAGGTACACTATGCCATCCTACCTACCTCCTGCCAGTTCTCCTTCCACCGTTGTCTCCTCAAACACTTTACTCTCTTTCTCTGTTTAGGATGAAGGACACGAGCCGCAAGAACAACGTGTTTGCACAGTTTCGGAAGAATGAGCGGGACAAGCAAAAATTGATTGACACTGTGGCCAGGCAGCTCCGGGGACTCATCAGCAGCCACCACTCGTGAGGGCTGGCCTCGGGCCCACAGAGGCTGCTCGCTACCCTGCATTTGTGCATTCTTCTTCAAAGAGAGAAATGTATTTTTTTAATAACCTATGTACAGTATTCGCATAACCTTTCCCTATAGTAAAAGAGGCACAAGAATAAGCAAAGCATATGAGATATTGCTAGGCTGGGACTCAGGGGAAGTTACTACTACACTATCTGTTTATCCTAAAGATGGTGGTGTCATCAGTCCCAGTATGATGAACCACTTTTCATCAAAGGCTCTAGAGCTTAGGTCTGGGGCTCAGGAACTACAGAAACAAAATGGGTGCTTCGCACTGGGAGGTAGGCGAGCAGGCAAAGGATAACACAGTATATGCTGTCCACTCCTGGGTGTCCCATTCACCACATAGGTGAGGCTGATTCTTCCTGACGTAAGGAAAGGGCCTGGGAAACGTTAGTATTTAGTATGTTAAAGACTAGCACACAGTTCTGGAGCTTCATCTCTTCAGTCCACTGGCTCTCATTAACTGGTGAACAAGCAGGGCATGTGGCAAGATGACAGCTTCACTCTAATCCCCCAAGGATGGCAGTTTCTTTAGCCTAGATCTGACCCAGTGCTTGACTGCTCATTTTGTGGGGGGCAAGATAGAGCTGAGTGGGTAGTGGTAGTTATTGGGCCCCATGACTAACTGTAGATTGATACCCCCACACCAGGAGGCCAGCGTGAATGGAATCGGAGCCTCAGCCCCTTCCGCATTCATCTCATTTTCTCCCTTCAGGGTCGGGGCACTGGGCAGAGGGGATATAGGTCAACAGTTATTTCCACAGGTCCTCACAGAGAGTCTCAGGCCGGGCCTCCTCTGGCCGTGTCATTGGGATAGGTCAGAACCCAGAAGCCTAAAAATGGCCCTTACTTTACTCTTAGGTAAAACCTGAAAATTACTTGAGATTGTTCCTTTGTGTTTTAAAACCACCTTTATGGTCACCATCTTTAAAGGCAGTGACACCAGCGCTGCCCTGTGGAGGCAGCCACAGCTGGACTGGATGCCTCTAGCAATGGAGCCATGAAGTAGACAGGGCCAGCCACGGCTAGTGGTCTGTTGCCTCTGGGCCAAATGCCCCTCACTAAGTCATATCTTAGGTATGATGCTCTTGCTAAAGCCCAGAGCTTCCGTCCTCTTTTGCGATTCCCATAGCCATCTTTTGGTCTTGTCTGAGAAAGGTCATCTGTGATCCTATCCCTCAAACTCTACAGTTTGTGTGGGCAGCCTGGACCAGCTACTTTGGAGACAGTGTCACTGTCCCAAATGGACTCCTGAGGCTTAATGCGAGGGCTTTGCTGCAAGGTCGGTCAGAGGAACCTGGACATTAAGATGCTCCAGGAAGATGCTGTTGTGGCTACTGGCAAGAGTGTAATTGTGCATCACCAAACAATGACAAATAAGCCACACAGGCATTTCCAGCTTGGATTAGTGGGAGGGGACACTCATCAAACAGAATTCTTCACTAACTTTGTCAGCTGAGTTGCTTCTGGGGAAGGCAGTGCTTCCTTTTTCATTCCCTCCCCCTGCCCCCCGCCCCGTGTCCCATCGCAACTTGAAAACCACAGGGAAGAGAATATGCACACAGACACGCAGACTTCCTCAAAGCTGGAGAGGCCAGGCTGCACGTGAGTTCTGAGGTGCCTTCTGGGTCTCATCCTGGGGGCACGGCAGTTGGCTCAGTGTCTTAGGTTGAGGGATGGATGCTGCTACTCACAACTTCAAAATCCAGGGGAAGGCATGGGCCCATGAGAGCGAAACCCAAGATGCCATCTCCCAAGCCTTGGATTTTATTGAAAAAGAGCAAGAAATGATTACACTAATCTGAAATCCTATTGCTTGAAAAGGACCCAAAACACCCTCGCTAGTCCCCAGTTTGCAGCAAGATCTCTTCAGCTTTGAGCGCTGTGACTTTGAAGTGGGAATGCAGTGAACCAGAAGTGTGTCACAATTTTTATCTTTTCGTCATTATCGCTGGTCTGGTCTCAAACCCGTGCCCTGGAAAAACCGCTCTAGAGGAAAAAGTGAGCAGGGCAGAGGAATGAGGGTTACTCTGCACCTTGCTCACAGAAGCCCCTCTAAAGAAAAACCTGATTCAAGCTCCAGCCTCATAAGGGTGGACCCTGTGGTAGATCTCTTTTTCCCTCAGTCTGCCTTCCAACTTCTGTAACAAAACCGACATGCCGTTATTGAGTTGTCTTGTCGTATTGAGGTGTTATTGAGTTGTAGAGACGCACTCTTGGTGGGCAGAGGAAGGTAAAAAGATCAAGGACCAGCAGTGTCCCAAATTGTTTGAATCCGTGAAGTAGGATTTTTAGTTTTGTCTGTAGGCCTCTAGCTGGGCCAACTCTTCAGAGGACCTGTGCAAAGCATGCATGCCCACGCCCCTCAGACTCCTAAGATCTGGCCTCAAGTGCCCAGAGATCTAGAAGTGCCCTGAAAACCTCAATAAGAGGGCGAGAGCTTGGGTGGCCAGAAGCCTACCAGCCTTCTAGACGGAATTAACCCTTGGCCAAGTTCTTGGGGAAACCGCGTCCATGTTCCTGAAGGGACAGTCTGGTCTGGGACCCTAGTGGGCTTCGGCAGTAATATATGCAGCTTGCACAGTTTTAACATTCATAGGAAAATCTCTCTGGGTAGACTGTAAACGAAGCTGTTGGCTGACGGAGAAGAGGACCTGCCAATTGGTACCAGCAGAGTCTCCACTGGCAAAGAGAATGTCACGCTTCCGGGGAGCATTCCCCAGTGTTGCCACTGCTTACCAGACCTAACGGTCTCTCAGGCCTCTAAGCCAGCCTGGCTTTCCTGCACACTCGACACGTGCTTGCTCAGCAAGTCCCAGACCCAGGGTCCTTTATCCCAAGGTGGCCGTTGACCATGACCTTCCTCATAGGGCCCCTGAGCACACTCCCCGGGGCCTGCTGCAGAAACCCCCCGCCTTAGCCGCCCTTCTCCGAGGGCTCTGCTCCGGGGTGCTTCAATGGCCTCATTTTTTTTTTTTCCTTCTTATCTTTTTTTGTTTTTTAGTCTGTGTTCACAATTACTTTTAATGTGTTGGAAATGGCCTTTTGATTTTGCACAAATATAGTTGCACATTTATGGAGGAAATTTAGGGGAGTCCATTTTTAACGCTAAAGGGAACTTTTTTCTTTCAAACTCACTAGTAAAGCTACTGATACAGATGGGCCTCGTGGTTAGTGGAAAACCTCCTGTATGGAAAGAGCATGTTCATTCCTCCTGTACGTTTTCTTCTTCTAACTGCTATTAAACGAGAGAGCCTATGTACCTGTTCCAAAAACCACAGTGTCGTCTCCTGGATTTTTTTATTCTCCTGCACCTTTTGCATATTGCGGCTCAGGTTGGTGAACTGGATGACAGTCATTACACCCCTATCAACTGGCCTGAGGACGAGAGCAGGCAAAGCCTGGTGGGGAGGAGAAAGCCTACCTGCCACACAAGGCAAGGAGCCGTTGGACACATCCAGAACTACTGGGTTAGGTTTTCCTGTCTACACAGTTAACGCTGGCATCATCATCAAGAGGAATAACTTTCGAAATGCCTGGTTTATGTGGTGTACCGGGCCAGGCAACTTGGGCCCGATGTATTTTGAACACCGGTCCTGCCATGGAAAGGTTCCCAGTCAAGACGGAGTGATATAGAATTAATTATCCAGAACAAAACCAGGCTGGGGGACAGGGAGAAAGCGTAATTTAGAGCTCCGTAGGGGAGAGGGACAGGTATCACGGCCTGGTGTAGGAACGGGTCTGATAGAGAAGACAGCACAGAGAAAGCATGATGTGAGTTAGCTGGGCCTTGAAGAAATTAAATTCAAATTTTGTTAAGCCATGGGAGTGTTTTTGGTGCAGACTATATTAGAGTGAAAAGTTGGCATGAGTCTGGTACGTGCTGGGAGGATAGTGAAGCACCTGGTAGGCACACCTGGAACTATGGTGAGTAAGGCTGGAGATGGTATTACAGCACCCAGCCAGCCTGTTTGCCCCCTAGGCTGGCATGGAAGCCATGGGAAGAGGATGGAAAGAATTTCTGCAGTAACAAGTGTAACTTCTACAACTGGGCTTTGATGGCTGAGAGACCTGGGCTTTGATGCCTCCTGTGCCACTTGCCAGCTGGATGACCTTGTACAATTAACTTTCTAAATCTCATAATCCAGCGAAAGTGGAATAATAGTCCCTAATTTATAGGTTTGTTTTTGTGAAGTGTAAATGAGCTATGGATGGTCAAAATGCTTAGCCAGTACCTAGACATAGCATATGTATTTAAGGCCTTTCTCTTCCTCACCTCCAATTCCATAACATACCTCAGGGCTGAGCATTGGACAGAAGTGCCCAGAGCTTCTCTGCCTCCTGGCTTTCTCTCCCCATACCCAGTACAGCAGTCATCATAGGGAGGCCCCTTGAGCCTCGGGTACAAGCACGGGTACAAGCCTTTCAAATCAGCCAGCCAACTTCCTGGCTCAGAGTAGAGCCAGTCCTTCAGGTAGAATCTCCATCAACACCACCTGGAAACTTCTCTGCTCTCATTTTGGAACCCCTTCTAGAATTCAGGAGTTCTTAACCAGGGATCCACAAACCCTTAGAATGGCTTACATTTACCCATTTTTCTGGCTTTCATCAATATCTAAGAAAGATTCAAGATTAAAATACTGAATAATAACCAAATCTCTTTGGAAATGTGAATCTCCCAGTGAGAGAAAGCCAGAAGCTTTGAGCAGTTACTTTCTCTCCCTGCCTTGTATGGTTCTGGCAGGAAATTTTTTAAAACCTGGAGCTCTGCCAGCCCCCTTTTCCAAGAGCCCCCACATGAAACCCAGGTCACATAAAAGACCAGGACAGCCACCATTCCCAGCTTGCCCCACACCAGATTAGGGTACTGAGGGGGGCATGACTCTGCACCTCTGAACGTAGACCTTTCCAGCTGGTTGGGGAGGTTGCAAACGGGGGCCGGTACAGAGGCTCGGGCTGTCAAAGCCAAACTGAACGTGACTCACCCCAGAACATTTCCCGAAGCTCTGAACGCTGCTGGTGCACCATCTCACCCAAGGCCTTATCCAGGGAAGGGCCAGCAGCCTTGGGGAGTACTCTGAGGGCAGAGCTGGGCAGACAAAACAAAACCAGGGACGGATGTGAAGCAGTCACCAGCTTGCCCCTTTTCTTGTAGCTGGGCTGCTTTGCTCACCAGGCAGATGAGGATGGGTAATAGCTAGTGGAAGATAAGAGGAGGGAGGGAAGGAAAATGCCAGACCCTTTTTCCAGAGGTCTCGGTTTTGAATTTAATGGGCAGCGTTAGCCAGGAATGAGAGAGGCTCCAGGCCCAAGGGACCAGAAGACAAAGGCTCTTGAGGAAGTAGAAGGAAGAGGAGGAGGGAAGTGGGGGCCTGGGCATTGTGTGGGAGAGCAACCCCTCTATCTGTTTCAATCACTGGTGGGGTTAAGGTTACTCTGCACTTGAGGCCCAAGCTCCTTTGTGGGGTCTGTGACATCAGCCATTGTGATGGTAATGGAAGGGCCTCTCTCACAGGGGGCACCCTTCATTGGCCAGCCCACATCAACTCCCAGAGAGGACTGAAGCTTATGTTCCCTCAGGGTGGGGGCAGGATGTGGGCCCAGGACTGGACCCAAGACAACAGCCACCTCCCAGGCTGAAACCACTGCTAAGTGCACCTTCCAAGCCCAAGCTATGACCTTCCTCTCTCCAAAGCTCCAGAAAAGGAATGGAATCTGAACATTGAGACGCTTTTCTGGCCCTAAACAATCCTTCCATTCTCTAGGCTCAATGATGGGTCTATTTCCTCCTGTAAATAGGTCTCGTAATCTTCAACTTTACCTTTGCTTCTGAGGGTAATTAATTAGATCTCCCTCTTGTTCCCACACACTCTCCTCTCTGTTACAAGGCTCAGGTTCAGCTGGGTGGATGGCTTTTCTTTCTTTCTATTCCATGGAGTGCTTATTTTTAAAGCTGATGGAGTAGGTCCCACACTCCCTAGTGAACCCCTTCTCCGGAGAAGCCTGCTGGTCCGTGGGCACAGGAAGGGGGTCTCGGACTGCCCAGCTGATGGCTTTCAGATAGCCAGTTCTGAGCAGCCATTTCACTGTTTCCCCAGGTACGTTTCCAAGATTTTAGGGAAGAGGCCAGAGAAGGAGATTTTAGGTAACACTCCCAAGAGCAGCGTGGAGGGTTAGGTGGTAATTTGGCCACTGGAGAAAAAGGGAGACACAGGTGGGCATGGGAGAAAGATCAAAGGATCAAAGAGTCCCTCTTCCCCAAGGGTGAGGAAAAAAGAAAGGCAGGGAGCATGAGAGCAGCGAGGGAGGAGGGGTGAGGACAGGGCCCCACCAGACAGCCAGGGTAGAGGCAGCTTTGGGGAGGCGGTCCTGCAGGCCGTCAGTGGAACCCCAGAGACACCGATGATTTCTAGTATCCTTGTACTGATCAGAAGCTTCTGCGCCATAATGAGCTCTTCGAAGACAGGAACGACATTATACGCCTGTCTAAATCTCCTGTAGCTTCTTGCCCAGCAAATGGCACATGGGCACTCATGACCAAATGAATCACACTTGTAGTAGGGATAGTCCCTACCAAGGGAGGGGGCTGTGAGAGCCGCCGTCCCTGCTGGGAGGGGGGGCCGGGGGGGAATATTCTGTCACTGACATCATTTAGAAAGCATATGGTTGATAATATAAAGCAAACCAACTTTCAGTCTGTTTTGTTATGGTTTTAAAATTCTCTACAATCATATTCCACCCCAGTCTTGGTATGCCATGGGGTAAAGAACAGGTAGGTTGTAAACAGATTGAGTCAGGTGAGAAACCAATGTAGCAGTTTAATTCATGATGAACAGGCTACCATCCTGGTGGTGCTGGTGAACGTGTGTGTACATGTATATGTGTGTGTGCGTGTGTAGGTATCTCATAGAACAGGGGCTTCCCCCACTGGACCCTTATCCCATTTCCCACATCTAATCACTGGTAACAGTATGATGATGTTCTTTCAGATCATTTTAATATGTGTGTACTGACTTTTTCACACAGAAAATATGATTATAGTATCTTATATTACAGGCTTTTTTCCCACTTAATGTATCTTAAACATCCTTCATGGCAACATATTAGAATTTCTTCATCTGCTATGTAGCCCATAATTATCTCTTTTCATTGCATAGATGTACCTTGAGTTTATTTAACTAAATCTGAATTAATGAATATTTGAGACATTTCCAGTGTTTTATGATTATAAACCATATTGCAAGACATTTATGTACATCTTTGCCTTCTTCCTTAGGTGTTTCTATACCATAAAATTTCAGGAGTGGAATTGATTAGTGAAAGCCTATAAAATTATAAATGTTAATAGAAATCATGTATTACTCTTGAAAATCA